GGGCTATTTTAGATAAAACTAACAGCAACACCCATTGGTCTGCATGGAATAAGGAGGTCTGGATCCAAAAGAAAGGAATGTCCGCCAGTAGGAGAGGGTGCTGAGAAGAATAGTCTTGCTGTGTGTTTAAGTTGAAGTGAACAGACAAAAATGACAAGTGACAGTGAGTAATCAGACAAAAATGTCTTCTCATGGAATCAAAGATCCTATTTATATTAAGCCAAGTTTACAGGGGAAAAATTAAAACCCTTTGTTGAGAGTTCATCAATAGTCTGACTACGCATACTCTCTATAGTCCAGTCTAGTAGCAGCCATAACAAATACCTATGATCTCATGTGCTCTATTAAATCTGATTTCTTTATATTCTGAGCCTAAGCAAACTCTGCTCATTAACTCTAAATCTTTTAAGAAAGAAATTCAATACTTAAGAATGTAACAGTGTTAGATTGTTAACTTTTTTAAAAAAATCAGGACTACCTGCAAGGACTTGCATGGAGCTTTGAGAATAGAGGTAATAAATTGGATCCCAACAAAAACTTCACTGTGTTCTTACCAGATGGTTTGTGGTCTGAGCTACTACAGTAAAGAGAGGGAAGATGTAAACCAGGCATAGAGTACTGGAGGATCAATTACTTCTCATACTCTGTCAGTAAATCATAGAAAACCAGGCAAATGTAAATTCCATCTGCAGACCTGAACATTGTAATACACCCCCACGTACATATACATAATATACAGATACAAAGAGATGTTTATTATGTATTAGTCATAGATAAGTGTCAGACTACTACTGAGGGGATTTTTCTACTCTTTTCAGGCTTATAGGGTCGTCTTGAAATCCCACCCATTTGTGACATGACAAATGAATGTTTAAATCCGGTAGGTAAATTCCCACATGTATCACAGTCACTAGTGCAGTTTGTAACCTAATATACTACACCATCAGCTAGTTCAAAAGGGAGTGAATGTCATGCTAACAACCAGTGTAAATGTTGTTCATTAACTTCTGTCATTAATCCTTTATGTGCACTAGAGCAAACGGCACAGGTCCTGTGATGGGGCACACCTCTGACCTCACAGGTTTTTGTGGGATTCCCTGCTGTTCTGCTCCCAAAAATATCTTATGGAAATGTTAAGGATCTTAAAGAAACACAGAGACTCTGTGATTTACTTTTATACCCAAAAATGCTTTTGTGGCTACATAAAAATTAACAAACTTACCTTGTGCATGTGTTAGATATTTATCAAAAGAGGCAAGCACAAGGATGAGAGATGATAAAATGTAATAAAGACTAGAACAATAACACTGGTCTGCAAATTGAAACAAAGTTTCAGTTGTTTTGATAAAAATAGGTGACTTTACATAATTTTACTATGCTGATTTAAAAAAAATTGCATCCATTTTGCTCTATCACGTAAGGATTTTTCACAAATCAAAAAGAAAAAAATGGACATTTTTCATGCTTTTTATTCCACTTTATGCATTAAATACTTGGTAAATAGTAAGTTATAGTTCTTTTAGAAGGTCTGTTGTAAGTCCTTGTTTAAAGAACAAAAGAGAAAAGTGTGAAATTTAACAACTGAGTAATTTTAAATGATTAGATGCGACTTAATCAACGCTTTTTGACAACTTTTTATGCATTTCACCATCAGTCTCTCTTTTCAAGGACCAGCAGTAATCAGCCATCATGTTGACATCCCAGCATCCTTGATATCTCTTTTCCATCATCTTGATATCCTGATGAAATCTTTCCCCATGCTCTTCACTGACAGTTCCAAGATTTTCAGGAAAATAATTATTTTCAAGAACTTGCATGCAAAAAAACCTCAAATTAATTGTATTCGTCAAAATGAATGCCATTTAGCTTAATTTTGTTGAAGAGGATTGCCATATTATTATTTTATATATTATAGGCAGGGCTCGCCAGCCGCGCTGTCCAGCGATCTGCGTGTGTGCAGATCGTTCTGTCCATGCACAGATTGCCCGAATCCGGCTCTTCCGGGTTGCAATCTACTCGCCACGGGCGAGTAGATTGCATTATTTGTCGAGCCCTGATTATAGGAGTAACAAAACAGAATGGTTTCATTGTTTTAAGTTTTGAATGATATTTACAACTGTATTTTCTGCATTTTTCTTCATTTTCTTCATTTTTCAGGTAATCCCCTAACATGGCATCTCGAGGTTGCTTGAATGATCCAGGCATATTTTGTTACATTTGTGACAGTTTTGTTCCAAAGTCTTGATCCTCAAGTTTTATACCAAAGTAGGTGTGATAAACATTTCTAATAAAATCTGTTACGTTCTGTTTTTCCTTCTTTGGATCATTCAGGCAACCTCGAGATGCCATGTTAGGGGATTACTTGAAAAATGCTGAAGAAATGAAGAAAAATGCAGAAAATTCAGTTGTAAATATCATTCAAAACATAAAACAATGAAACCATTCTGTTTTATTACTCTTATAATAATTTGGCGATCCTCTTCAATAAAATTAAGCTAGATGACATTCATTTTGACTAGTTCAATTAATTTGAGGGTTTTTTGCATGCAAGTTCTTGAAAATAAATCACTGAATATAATATACAGCCGCTCCCCGAGTTGCAAACAGTCGAGTTATGACCGTTCACTCTTACGACCAAAGCTCCCATGGAGCGGTCGTAAAGGTGGTCCCTGAGATACGAACGCAACCCGCGCTTACAAACAGCGCAGTCACATGTAACTCAATGGGGTCCGAGTTACGAACGGATCGAGTTACGGCCAACTGTTTGGTCCGTAACTCATTCGTAACTTGGGGGAGGCTGAATAACACATTATAATAGCATTTTTGAAAAAGTAGACTCCAGTTTTCAGAAAATCTGTACATCGTGGGCAAAAATAGATATAATTTTTGAACTCAGCACCCCACAATTAGTTAAGAACAGTTATTTGTTCTCAGACAATGGAACCCATGCAGAAGGGTGTAATTAATGGCAAATATATAAAATATTGCTTATCTGTAATCTGGCATGTTACAAATAAGGTTGGTGTTTTATCGTGTCCTATTATGGGAATCTTGGATTTCAGGATTTATATGTTAAAAATCCTTATGAATATCCAAATCAAGGCCTTTTGTGATTTTGGCATGATAGGGGACTTATTTGGGGGAAGATACGATGGCAAGCAGTTGACTAAACCCCACAGAGGACCAAGACTGCAAATGTTTAACCTTGAGCTGAGTGACAGATTATAAGAGAACAAAAGCAACCAAGTGACACAAAGGACCATACCAATGGATGATCAGTAACAATTTTTACTCCAAGATGGAGTAAAAATGGCATTGCAAATGTGAGCTTTCTGCCTGATATCTGTTCTACAATGGAAAACAACAGATACTTGAGAGATAAACCAATCTGTTGACATTAAATCTTTTGGAAAGTATTTTCCCATTGCTTTTGCCCTCTTCACAATGGCCATTCTGTGAGGTTTATTTAGAATTGCCATGATAAAACTAGAGCTCTAACTAAAGGTTCAGACTGCCTTTCTAGGAGTGGGAAACTCTTTCCAGGCACTCCCACTAGACCACATGCAGATGAGCACCAGCCAGAATCTGGCCTAATATTATTGTTTTTTACTACTAGTTGAGTCTGATCAGTAGGTTACACATGTACAGCTAATCCCATACTGGAGAATCTTTGAGCCAAATTAAGAAGCAATAAAAGGTGGTGTAAATTATACAACAGTAGCTTGGTGTTCATGTGAGTGTGAGTAGAATTACACAGTCTAGGTCAGGAGGGCACAGAAGTGTCAGGAACAGAAACTAATAGGAATGTATAATGAGGTTTGGAGCTGCTGCTTCTTGTACATTCTTTCCCCTGCTACTTGCTTTTCCTGCTAACATCACCCTTCTGCTTTTCATCATGTGAATAATACCCATTTACAAGTGTATAAATTACCCCCATTTTGAAGTTAGCTTGTTATGCTTAATAACTTTTAGTTTCACTGTAGCTTATGCTAGATATTTCTGTCTTACTGGAACATTACAACTCACTGGATAAGGACTTCTAAATTTATCACAGGATACTTTAGCATCTAAACACATTTTGCTAATCTAAAAACCCTTCCCACAATGATTTTGCTTGCCTACTAGCCCCCATATAACAGTAGACTAAAGATAACACTGAATCTAAATCTATATCTCACCGTGGTATGCAATACTTTCAATTACATTACCAAGTGAAAACTAGAAACGTTGCCATTTACTAACCAAAGAGGTCCCAGCTCTCCAAGGCAAAATCACGGAAATGTAGTTATCTGCTCCTGACCCTCTCATGAAGTTTTTCAGTCTATTGTTCCTGAGGACAACTCTAATCTCTCTGGCCTACTATGTGTTCAATGAAGGATAGCAAAAATAAAAAGGTTTTAAGTAGAAAATAGTGGTGCTTCCATCATGCTCTGAGGAAAACTTTATTTTACTTTTTGTAATGAGTGGGCCCATTTAAGCTCCTCAGCCATTCCTTTTTCTCTAGAAAATCTTTGAACAATTTTCTAAGAGCTGGAGAAAAGAAATAGTCATTTTATATGCAAGTGTTTGCCAAGAGAGTGAAATCAGCTCAGAAAGCCCCTAAACATGGATGTGTTTACTCTTTGTTGCCTTAATAAAATGAATGGTGGTTTTGGTTGGGAGAATCATAGCTTTATTATTAGAATGTTGAGGAGGGAAAACGCTGAATTCTTTATGGTAATCTGCATTACATGATTACATTTTACATCTTTCTTATTTGTATTACTGTAACATTTAGAATCCTCAAAGGAGAGTTTGAAATCCAAATACGCAAGACAAACAAAGCAGAGGAAAGGCACACAAAGGGGAGTAACTCACAAAGTTATTCAGCAGAGCAGAGGCAGAAACAAAACTAGATGGCCTGAGTCCCACGGTTTGAACCTATCCCCTTCTAGATCATACTGCCTCTAAGAATCCCTAACAGACAGTTCTAGTATATGTTTTCACATTAGAACACTTACCTTTATGCAGTGCATATGTTACAACTAAGGTAGAGCACATCCATAAGACACTTTTTATATTTAATAACATCTTGACCTACAAATAAAGAAAAAAATGAGTAAGTCAAAAGTATTCTAGTGAGTACTTACGACATCAATAACTATCCTTAATATTAAAGATACAGACACACAGCAACAAGCTATTTATCAGGAGGAATGGATTAATGTTAAGATTCTTTTAAATCACTGGTTTGAATCTAATACAGTACTGGCAGAAAGTTATTAGCATCTGCTGGCTGATCTATGGTCTTAAAGAAATGAGAAGTAATCCAAACCCAATTTGTAGTTGGGTACAAAAACTGCCATCATTTAGAAAATTAGAACCTGCCATACTTATCAAGGGTCCATTTCATTTCACAAACATTGCCATAACAAATTTGTTCAATCATTTTGCTGAACACAGGTTGTTTAAGGGGACTTTCTGCTTGCAATATTTATTCCTGGGTAAAATTTCATTACAATAACAATGTGGCCCCCATTAATACAGATTCATGGTAGATTTTAGGTGTGTGTTTCCAAAGTGTGATTTGGACAATTCAGTGCTTTTGTGTATGCCACCCTCCTTTCTAGGCTATGAGCCCCATCAAAGATTGAAAAGTTCTCTAAAATACACAGTGTTTCCATAACAACACATTGCTAGTTCATGCCAAACTCTAGTTAAATATAAGTAGTCAAGTGAAATTAGAATGATTCCCACTAAATGATAGCCACTATCTCTTTAAAAATACTCAGCTATTCTTTATAGGAACTCATCTATAATATCTAGCAAACATGAAAAGTAGCTTTTAGTGACAAGTAAAGGTTTGTGAGGCACTGTTGTTGAGGAGCTGTTAGTCTGAACTCATAGGAGCTTCCTGATTTTCTTCTCAGAATATGCTACTCACGATCTCTAATTAGAGCAGTAGACAAAACTGAGAGCTATTTCATGTCCTGAACAGAATATAATTTAACTGACTTTAGGGAACTATGGAGCAGAGATTTACTGGGAAACAAACTACATTCGAACGGTAGACTTGAATAAGCTTAAGTATTAAAAAGTTATCACTGGAGTTTAAACATTGACCAACATCATACATGATGGCATTTACTAGGCAAAGTGGATGCTCACATATGATTGCAACAGACACAGTGTAACATCTTCTGATAACAGTGGGAAATATGCTCAGTGTAAAAGAATTCTGTTATCACAATTTACGGGTATGTCTCAAAAACCACATACCTGTATCTGGCCTGGGATACGTTCCACAGTGGGAGAGTGGTTCAGAAAATAATAATACAACACATTTTAAATCAACCCTTCACAATGTGATGCTCTTGAATATCTGAAAAGGACACTGTCATAATTCCTACTCAAGGAGATTATATTCCAGGATCTTTACATTTCCAGTGAGTGGATGGCTAATGTTGCTTGTTGCATCAGGAAACACATTGTGCAACATTTTCCTAGAACGTGTGGAGGAGAAAACCAGCTGCTTTCCCATGCAACGGGCTGAATGCTGCCAAGTACACCCCATCTTTTTATCATCAACTACACTAGACTGGGATTACAGTGTGATAATATTGATGTTACAATGTTGGTGTTCATCTGCACTGAATCTTGCATGATGACATTGACTATGCAAGAAAAATGCCTTCACACAAGGTTTACATATTTTTGTGGTTAAATCCAAAACAAGAATTATGACCTTAATCGGTTCATTCAACCTGATCCATCTCTTCAGTAAGATTTATCTCAGGGGTCAAATAGCAGTACTCAATTTAAATCAGTTCACAGGGACATGACTAGCCTATGCAGTTTTAGTTTGGGAGGGCAAGATAATTAACTATACAGGGCTAGGCAATTGGACCACCTCCTAGACCTTCATCCTGAAATGAGTGCATAAGTGAAATGGCTGTAGAGGAAACTGTTGCATATATCAGAGCTGATCATTTGCTCTTTATAATTCTACAAGGACTAATTTTCCAAGGTGGGTGTCTCCAAAAGCTGTCCATATACTGCATTTGTTTAAGGGATGTTAGCTGTCGTGTAATTGAATAGTCGTGTATATGACTAGCGGTTATGAGACTATTTGATAGTCCACAGAGGTGGGGCCAGCAGCCAGTGCATTCCCAACTCCACTCCCAGGGAGCCCCTGTCACCCCACACTGCTGCCTCTGTATCAGAGGGAGCAGTGTGGGGTGGCAAGTAGCAGCTGGTCTGTGGGTGGAGCCAGTTTAAAAACTAGCTCCCTGAGCAGACCGGCTGCCTGCAACTCCTGTCCACGGCGGGGTCTAAGCTCCCTATGGACAGAGGCTGCTCTGTAGCAGCAGCTCCTGTCCTGCAGGCTCACTGTGAACAGAGCCTTCTCCATGGGAGGCAGATTATCCTCTGTCCATGGAGAGTTTAACTCCCCCATGGACCGGGGCTGTTGCCCAGAGCTGCATCTGTCCACAGCAGCCCCAGGATTGTTGCTGATAAAGGCTGCTCCATGGGATGTGGAGCAGTTTCTGTCTGTGGGGACCTCAGGCCTGCTGCAAACAGAGGCTGCTTCACGGCAGTCTCCCCTGCTTCCCCATGCTACTGCCTCATAGAGGCAGCAGAGGTAGGAGGTGGCAAGCAGCACCAGCTCCTGCCTCCCCCTTTCCCTGCTGCCTCTGTAGGAGGCAGCAGGGGGGGGGCAGGCAGGTCCACGGGGGCCAATACACCTGGGGATCTGTCTTGAAATCTGGCTCCCTGCATGTATCAATTCCAGCCTACCCCCATTCTATCAGAGGCAGCAGCCCGGGGAGCAGGGTTCCCTCTAAGCTGTGCACTTGCCCAGGCATGCAAAAAAAATTCCATCCAACCCACCTCCTACACAGAGCTTCGAAGCTGTGTGGTGGGCAGCAGGCACCGGCTCCAGCCACCAGAGCTAGAGGAGCTGCAAGCCATGTGGCAGGGAGCAGGCGGCTGCTCCAGCAGCCCGAGAGCCCAGGCGGGAGAGCAACAGGGCAGGTACTGGAGTCAGTTCCAGTGGGGGAGGGAGTGGGGCTAAGGACAATGGGAGCCTGGCACAGAAGCCAGATGGGTGTGGGGCAAAGGTGCAGCCATCTGTGGTGGTGGGAGGTACTGGGCGCAGGTAAATTCCAGGGGGAGGGGAGGCAAGTTGCAGGGTTGAACACAGGTCTCCGGGCAATGTGAGGGGGCAGGTGATGTGCAGGGATGGGCACAGGTCTCTAGGCAGTGGTGCTTAGGCTGTGGGCCTTAGGCCCAGCGACTGGTTATTTGTGTTTGGCGGGGAAGATAGCATGGCCCTGGCATATATACTGGTGGCAGATGGGAGGCAGACTGCAAGGCTGGGCACAACTACATGATGTGTGTGGGGATAGGCAGTTAGCCAGGCCTATAGAGGTACCAGCTGGCTGTGTGTGGTCCTGATAAGAGGCACAGGCAGTGGGGTACACACAGTGTGTGTTGGGGGCAAGAGCCAGCAAGCTGGGTGGTTTTCAGGGTGGGTGAGTGCAGGATCATGCACCTTGTTAATTATCCATTTTTTGGTATTTTTTCTTACATAATTTACACACACACACACACATACACACACACATAATTTTGTTAGCAACTGGTGGTTGTCACAGTGGCACACATCCAAACATGCTCACACGACATCAATATTTGGTGCACAAGACAAAACTCATTCCGCTCACAGATGGAAAATCTTAGAGGGAACACTGCTGGGGATGGGGGGGTTGGTTGATCCAGTGCTCATGGAGACTCGGCTTTTAAGCCAGCTCCTCACAGGCACCGGCTCCCATCTCTCCCCACTCTACTTGCTGCCTCTGATACAGAGGCAGTTGGGGGTGGGGGAAGAATGAGAAATGTGTGTAGTCGACAAGATTAACTGATAAGCCCAAGCTTATTGGTTAATCATGTAATCACCTACACAATTATATCCCTAATTTGTATGAACAAATCATTATTTAAAAAATGATTCCTCATTATTATAATCGATAGGTGAGGGGACAGAAGGTGCTTAATGTCTATGGGGCTATGCAATGCAGAGGATAGTTCAAGAAGCCCCTACATCCAGACAACTTGGGATCCACTATGAACAAGGTTTGTTCACAATTAATTCCCCCTATGGGTGCAACATTTCCATGCAACAGAGGGTATGGAAATGTTAAAATCAAGTGCCTCTGCAGCCACAAAGGAGAGCGCATGCAGTACTCTTCTACGAGGTGGTGCAATGGGTGTGTTCCCCCAGAAGCTTTAGGAAACAGTGGGCTTCCCTGCAGCAGAGTGTCTCCTGGAGTGCCCCCTGTTGGGCTGTGGCTGCACCTCCTCCCCTTATAAAGGTTGTGCCAATGGCTAAACAGTCAAATAACTTGAACTGGAAAAAACAAGAAGGACCAAAGAGGGATTTGATGAGAAAAAAGAAAAAGGTCTAAGGGGTCTATGGTGCACTGAGAGGCTGAGTTGGAGGGAGGGAGCCATCAGATGGAGCAGTGAGACAGGAAGAGGGAGAGGTGTTTGCTCAGGGTATATTGTCTCTAATAGCCAGGAGGAGAAAAGGAAAACTGCTTCGTACCTGTGTAATGCCGACAAACAGAACTGAACCTGGAACCTCTTTAGCTCCATGCATGAGTCTCCACCACTTGAGCTAAAAACCAGCTGGCTCTCAGCTGAGGCTGTACAAGAAACTCATTCTTTTCCTCTCTGTGAGTGGTCTACATAACCACTAGGTAGGACAGCAAACCACACCAGCCAGGAGTCCTGCACATGCCTCACACACTTCAGAAACACTCTTTACCCCTGAAAAACTCCCTACAGCAGAGTTGTGCCAGGGCAGGCCAGAGAAAGGCCCACATTTATACCATTCCAGTGGCCCCACAACCTCATACAAAAGGAGCTGGGAGCCAGTGGCAGCAATTCCAGCTGTGGCCCAGGTTAGGGCTGAGATTTCAGTTCCCCACCTCCCTGCACTTAACTGCTTGGAATTCATGCCAGGGAATGGATTTCATTCTAATTGTTCAACAGTTAAAGGATCATCTGACAGAAATATATTGCCAGATATTATT